GGGCGAAAACTCCTCCCCACCCTCCGCCCGGCACCCCCCGGGGGAGCGAAGAGGGGGGCAGCACCCCTCGACGCCCCCCCTTCTGCTTCCCGCCCCCCGCCCCTTTTGTTATTATTATTTTTTATTATTTTGCCCATGGAAAGGCTGAAGGGGAGTGGGGAGGGAGCTGGAACTGGCCCTGCCACCCCTGCAAACCCCCCGATGCCCCCCTGCACCTCAGAGCCCCTAAAACTTCAAGGCTGGGGGGAAATGCAGAGAGGAGGGATGAGGGCACGGAGATTTTTTGGGGTGGCCTGGAAAGAAAAGGAAAATAGCCCCAAAAGGAACGTGCCCGTAGGGGTGCAAAAGGTCCCCCCCGGGCTTTGGCAAGCTGCAGCGTGCCTCTTTGCGAGGGGAAATCAAGGCACGGGTCCTGCAGGCAGGTCCCCCTTTTTCCCCCACACCCCATGCTTTAACCACTATTCCTGGCCGTACTTTGCCACCCCTTGCAGGTTTTCACCCAGTTACCCCGATTTCCCAGGTCCCCTCATATGGGAGGGAAACTGGGATCCAGTAAACCTGCTGGCGGGTGTTGATCCAGCCTGGCTGGGCTTCGGTGCGAGCTTTGCAGGGACCACATGGAGCAGGGGATGGGACTGGGCACAGCCCAGCGGGGCTGCAACATCCCCAGTCGGTCCCCACTGCCCATCCCTGGGACACAGGGAGGCAAAGGGCAGGTCTGATGCTTTGCGGCCTTTTTCTTGCTGCTACGTTTTACGGAGCGCTGCCCCATCCTGCAAAGCCACCCCAGCCCGGCTGCGATGGAAGCACCTCCATCACACGACGATATTTCCCACTAACCCCAGTTTGGTGCTCATGAGGGCAGGAAAGTCACCCCCGAGAAGCATTCCCCCAGCTCAGACGAAGGATCTCCAGCAAGGCGACGGGACCAGAACACCCCAGCCGGACCCCCTTGCCCAGCTCATCCCTGCAACCTGCCCTGAAAAATATATTTAGCCGCTCGATTCCTTTATGATTCTGACCCCCTGACATGGGCTGCAGGGCTGCAGCGGCTCCGCTTTGACGGATTGTGGATTTCCTCTCCATGCTGCCAGAAAACCGCCGGGGCCGGGGCGCGAGATGGGAAGGCATTTCCTCAGCCTGGCCGGCCGCTGCCCCATCTAACCCATGCGCGGAGGGGAAAAACCCAGCGCGGCTCCCAAGCCGGGGTGTTTGTGCAGGTAGGCAGTGATTTACCACGTGCCTGGGTGTTTCTATTGACTCTTGTCAGCTTACAAGCGACGGAGAGCACGGTATGTAAATGTAAGTTATGTGGGTTCAGGATCCACCTGGGTTTCCTGGTCTCTCCCCTTCCTTCGCACAGGAGTGGGACGGCTGCCGTTCTGTTTTCGCGTGGGTGATGGCGATTTGGGGGTCCGGAGAGGTGGCAGGCGCCAACTTCACTTGCAGCAGAAGCAGCAACTGCCCTTTCGGAGCTTTTCCCCGCGACCGAATCAAAACCCTGCGGAAGCAACAACATTTTCCAAAGGAACTGATTAAATCTATTAAGCTATTTACAAGTGGGCTTGATCAGAGCTGCGTTATCTGGGAATACAACAGGAAGGCAGCTTCTCTTAAATCTAAAAGGCGCAGGAGATTTCCTGGTCTCCGGACAGATTTATAAACCCTTTGCACACACGCGCGCGCAGGCCGGCACATAGCAATTGCCTTTCATCTGGGTTGTGGAGCTTCTGGGGACAGCCCGTGCCGTCCCAGGCTTTGCACAGCGGGCTCCGCTTCGCTCCTAAAGCCCTATCTCACGCCTCGGAGCGCCGGGAGAGGGCAGGGAGAGAGGATGCCAAACCCTCCATCCTGCTCTGAACAGGTCTCCTGGGTGCATTTTGCAGATGGGAGTTGCTAGAGGTTGCAGCAAGAGGTTTGGGAAGAAAACCCGTAACATCCTTTTTTTTTTTTTTTTTTTTTTTTCCCTTTGAAGGAGTTTAGTTGGGAATAAAAACCTGAACTCCTTTTTTTTTTTTTTTTTTTTTTATTTCCCTTTAGAAGGAGTTTAGTAGGGGTTGTGCACTGAAAAAGAGATGGCCCAAAGCGGCAAGGTTTTATTTTGAATATGGTGTTACACCGCTTGGTGTTATTTTTTAACCCTCGGGATGCACGGGGCCTGGATATCGCCATTATTATAAAAGTAACGGCCTCTACACTTGACGCCCTGGAGGCCAGCAAATTTTTAGTAGTAGTAGAATAGATCCCCTCAAGGGAAAAGGAAAGGAACAGATAACTCCACTCGAGCCCTTTTACACGATGTGCGGCGGTGCCTCCATCCTGCCCCGCATCCAAGGTGCGGTGTGCGGGATGGGAGGAAGGGTCCGGGCGAGGATAGAGCGCCGGGACCCGCGCCCGCCTCCTGCCCCTGCCGCAGGCGCCTGGAGGCTCTCGGAGCAACTCCCCGGCTTTTCCTGGTTTTTGCTATTCCCTCCGCATCGCGGGGGTAACATCGTTCGGTCTCCCCCAGGTATCGCAGGGGTGAACTCACGTGGCTTTTCAAAAACCCCTTGACTGGGACTCCCATGCGGTTGCAGGACAAAAATACTGCAAAAACGTTTCTCGCTTGGATTTTCTCCCAGGCTGGAAGACAGCACCTTCCTAGGGGCCCCCACACTGCATTTTGAGTGCAAACAATAATATACACTTTTTTTTTCTTCCCTCTCTCCCCCTCTCCTTTAGCACCTGGCATTCTGATTGCATTAGTAAGATGGGTTTCATTCTGCACCCTACCTAAAATGCTGGTTAAACCTGTCCTGTAGGAAGCTCTGCATTACATAAAGGCAGCTGGGGCCATGTGAAAATGCCACCTTTTAATTGCGACCGTATCAGGGTAATTAGCAGCAGTCTGGAAAAAACTCGTCTTTACTTTTTATGCTTACCTTCCCGATTCTGGTGTTAACGCTTACCTGTATCTGGGGCACGGGAAGAAGCGGAGCTCTCACAGGGCTTGGAAAGCAGGGAAATTACGGCTAAAAGCTACAAGCGAAAATAGACTGAGCAGACAAAGGGTGGAAGAAAGCTTTGTTCTCCCCATTTTCACGGATGGGGAACAGTAGCAGCAACTCCCATGGGTCAAGCAGAAAATCCATGACTGAACCTGGCTTTCGCGCCGTATAGGCGAGACCATCCCCACTCTTCAAAAATATCCCTTTTTGGCGTGGATCCGACACCTGGCATTTTATGCAGCTTGCAAACGGTGGGTCTTTTTTCACCAAGTAACCCCCCTCCCCCCTCCGCTTCAGAGACATTAAAATGTGTGAGAAAGTGCAAATCCTAAATTAGCTCGATATTCACATGTTCCTTAATTATTGATGAAACTCCCGTCTCCCAAGGGCGGTTTGTGCAGAGACGGCTGGGGGCTCCCAGCAGAAGAGCCGGCTCGCAGCGGTGCAGCTCCCAGCTGCTTTGCCACCGAGACAGAAGACCCAACCCTGCCCACCGCCCGTCCTCCCCGGGTCCACCGGGCCTTCCCCAGGGACCGCTACTGGGACCATTTATTTGCTAGGAGGAGAAACCAGAGCTTTCCCCTTATATACCTGCAGCAAAAAACGTAGACAAAAAAAACCCCTAAAATTTTCAGCGCATACACTCAGGGTGCTGAATACTTCTGCTCTTACTATTTTTAAAATGCAGCTTTAATAGTTACGAAATAAATACATTTTAGTCCCTTTAGGTTAAAAGGGACTAGCAGAATTTCCCTCTTACACTTTAAAATTTATAAAAATGGATTAAGATAAGGAAAAAAAAGTCTTTGAGTGACTCAGAAGCAGAATTTAAGTCCTCACTTGCTGAGAAATTTGGCATTGGAAAAATCTTCCCACTTCTGCCACCACAAAAGTTTTTTTTTTACCGTATTCGCCAGTCCCACATCACTAAAAGTTTGCTTATACAAGCAAAAGTTTGCTTATCCCTGCATGGGACAGGTACAGAGACGGCAGCCTTGGGTATTGTCCAAGTACTCCGAGCTCTGATCCGTCCTGGGGGTTCCTCGGCCACTACTACTGCGTGGATGAGATTTACAACCCGTCACATAGCAAACCCCAAACTGCCCAGGAACGAGGAGGAATTAAGCAAAGGACCGCTTCAGACGCGAGCAATCCTCACGCTGTTCGAGGACACACTATTATAAGATCTTTTTTGAAGACAGGCGTGATGCTATGCAGTGTTTCCAATAGACTTTGTGTGGTTTTCCTCTCTTCTTGGAGCTTCCTTCCTCCTCTTACTGCTGGCAGGTCTGGAGGTTTCGTGACGTAAATTGTGCCTTTTGAAGGTGGATGCTTCAAGAACTTCAATCTCGTGTGTTTAAACAGGAGAAAATTGCTTAATTACATTGGTGCATTCAGCTAATTTTCTTTGCTGAGAGCTGATTATTTGAGAGAAGTCAGCACCAGAACTACCTCTGGCTTAAAGGAAAATTGCATTAATTGAACACGATGCTGAACTGGATGGGTCCCCAAGTGCATTTCTGAAGTTTCACAAAGCAGCTGTGTCTCAGATACTATCTAATGGACTGATATTCACATAGATGTAAGGATACAGGGCTCTGAAATCTTAATGGGTTGTCTTGAAACTTGTACTTAATAGTATCGCGCATCTATGCTTTGAAATAACCCTGGTTGTTACTTCTGCTTTACACTGGTTGCGTGTAAGGCGTGAGAGCTAAAACAGCTTGGGAAGAAATTCAAGGAACGGTGCCTGTTCCACACACCTGGGTTGTCACGCAGCGTGCATCAGTGCAATCTCCCGTCCTTGGCTCGAAGCAAGGCTCTGCAGAGTCGGACACAGCAAGATCAAAACAACTGGAGCCCACAAAGCTCATGCAGGCTTTGGGCCGATGGTGGTAACGGGCTACTTTTCCATGGCCTCTACTTTCCAGGATACAGTTTTGTGCTTGCAGGTAATTACAAGCACAAAAGTCAGCATATATATCGCTGTTCCCAAAATTGCAATTGCAAATCACGTAGCTTGGCATGTAGCAGCCTTTGCACCGACAGTTAATTTCAAGGCTCAAAGCGAGGAACAACACTACACCGGCGACGAATGGAAGTAACTCACGAGAAACCATCGTCTGCGTAAGGCTCCCAATGCGACAAGGAAAATGTTCTTCTATGCCACCGGTGACCTGGGATTCCTAAACCCCAAAAACATTTTAATATCTATGCTGTGTGTGCATCATTCTCAATCTGAAAGTGAAAGCAGAGTGGTGACTCTCATTTTGCTTAGTTTCTAGGTAATTTCACTTGGACGTACATAAATTTGTGCTGCAGTGTGCGAGTACGATGGACTAATATATAGCAAAAGACCCTTCTGTTTAGAAGTCTTATGTGCACAGAAATGAAACCAAGTAATTTCTTTGTGCTCACATTCTGCTAATTTCACCATTTGGGTAATGACGTAATTCTTTTTCTTATGCTTTCTAAAAAAGAGCTTCTTGCCAAACCAAAGTTTGGTTAAAACTGGACTCACAACCCACTATAAACAAAAAAACCCAATTTATTACTCTGAAACACGTTCCCGTTGTTTCCATCATCCATTTCACCAGACAGTATCTGGTAAGAAGAGCTTTTTGTCGAGTAAGGCAAAGTTGGCTGACCACTAACACACACAGCGCAGAGCAGCTAAGTGAACTGCTTGTTTCAAATGCTAGTCTATTGTGATTTTTTTTTTCCCCTACAACCCATATTCTGCACATGCTATTTCTCTTTGAGTTTCAGGCACATTAAAATCCCACATTTCCTGGGATAAAATGAAATTCCCACTTCTTCTTGTAAAAATAGAGAATCTTCTGTTTGTAGCTGATACTTCGATCTGAGCCAGATTTAAAACTTATGCATACTGTACTTAATTGTAGTAACACCATAAATGTAAAGATTTATTCCTGGTTTTATTCTTTCTTTAACTAACACTGGAAGCTGGCCAAACGCTCATGAGAAATAGCACATAGAAACTCATGGAAGATTAATACAGAGAACAAACAAACAAGCCCAGCAGTATTTGGAGACGGAAACCCTGTTCCTTGACTAGCACCTTTTTAAATTGAAATCCCAGAGAGAGTGTAAAGTTTAGCTGCTTAAGAGTTAAAAAAAAACCCAACCATTGGAAACAGTCAGGCTTTTGGCTTCTGCTAACAAACAAAAATCCAAACTTGGGGTGAAATTAGAAAGGCTGCCTTGACGGGCACCCACAAAACTTAGGATGCTCCAATATACCATGAAAAATTATTTTGCTGTCTGCTTCCATCGAGAAGATTATTTTTTCACCTCAAGCATGGAGCTTGCTCACAACTCTATAGCAACCTCATGGTATTAAGCAGTATTTCGTTTAAGGAAGCCAGGGAAAAAGCCCAGCCATAGCAGCATCGTAACAGCTAATATTTGTACAGCACTGAAGAGCAAATGCTACAAGGGTTAAAAACTACTGGCCTGCCAGCAGTGAAACACAGAGAAAGGCATCTTGTTCTCCCTTACAATAAGTAAAACTACAGTAATTTTGCTGCAATGAATGAGCATGTCCTGAGGGCAAGAAAGGTGCACTGCAAACCAAGATATCTTAGAAAGGAAGAGTTCAGCTGCAACTTAAACATCTGAAGCCATGTGGACTGTGTGCTGCAGACTAAATTTTTCCCACTGGACAATAGAGGCAGCTTAAGGAAATTTTTTCATATTAACATCTGCATCTTGAGAACGTTTTTCAAACCACGTTAGGCAACTCAACTGAGCTAAGACAATACAAAAAATGTACCCATTTTATTCAGCAGAGCAGGCCAATGGGATGTTTTAGATTTACATTGATGAAACCCAGCCAGGCCCAAAGTCGAATGGAACAGCTAATGGATTTGAATTCTGGTCAGCTACTCCGGATTATGCCATGATAACTGGCTGGCTTTCAGGGTTGTGCTGTCAATTTGCTGTGGCCAAAGCAGTATCAGAACCAGACGCAAGGATGGTGAAGGCTTCTTCCCATTCCACTACTTCACCTCCAAGCTCACCCGTCTCTTCTGACAGCACTTAGCTGAGTGAGACTGAGATGCCAAAATCCATCCCGAACATTTAAGCTCTCATACAAAACTGCTGGTGGTTGTGCCGAGTTCCAGCGTTACCAATTTCCTGGTTTACAAACAGAAACAAGCTCTAATTTGGTTATAAATCTAAATTGAAGATTTTCAATGTATAAATGGGAATACTAACACATCTGACCAGCTATGCTTTTAAAATCTGTTTGGTCTCCTAATTTCACAGAAAACCTTGCTCCATCCAAGACAACGCTGAAGGTACCGTGAGTGTTGCCTGAGAAGCAAAGATTTAGATATGGTTAATAAAGGCACAGCTCCTTTAGCTTTGTTGCAAAGTTACAATTGCTTGACAGTAGTTAACTATTGGCTAGGAAACAAAGGGAGGGTTTTTTATTCCATTCTTTAGTACTGACACTCAGGTGCAAACCTTTAATTAGACTAAGTATTTCGCAAAGAAACAACAATCATTTTATAGGTAAAAGGAGATCAATGAAAAAATTAGACACGACTGCAAAAATTAATGGAAAAATACATCCAGCTTTGCAAAACCCCTCCTGTTTCCAGAAGCAGAGCTGGGCTATCGCAAGTGAAAACAAGAGTGGCTTTAATAATAAAGGTAGCAGTAGGGTGACGTTTTTTGTTTTCCTGGATTGAGAAAAACACAGTCTGTGTGAAGCAGCAGATAGCAGTTCACTGCCTTTCACAGTCTTAACCACAGCAGTTAAAACCAGGCCTGGTTTTGCTTGCTGTTATCTGACTTGAATGGAGTTGCACCAGAGTGAATCTGGGCTGAAGGCAGCGTGGGGTCTGCTGTGTTAAAACATAGCTCTTGCAAAGCCACTACGGTGAACTGTCTGCCACGCTGGATGAGGCAAAGCCTAACTGTTTTTTACCAAGCCTTGCTTTGCAGACATGCAAGCCTCGGCCCTACGCATGGAGACCTTTTTAACATGGCACTGAAGCTCATGTTGGCCTCTCACCATGTTCTCCCTTGGAAGAGCTATATTGAAACACAGTCTGTGGTTTCAGTTGGAGGTAGAGCAGTGTGCTTGAGATGGATTACAACGTGATGTTGGCTGGTGTGTTCACACAGACTTCTCCTCTGACATGCTAAAGTTGAAATCACCTCAGAGTCCCAGATTGACTCTTAAATGGTTAAATGTGCTTGCAGTGCTTCTTTTTCTTTCTCTGCGCTCCTTCGATACACTCATCTGTCTCCTCTTTTTGCCTGTTGTGTTTCTTCTTATGGCGTTTCTTTTGCTTTGCCTCATAGTCCTTTACGCTGAGATCTTCCCCATCAGATAATCCTGTATCAATTTCTCCGTTGACCATATTTTCATCACAACTAACTCTTTCCTCTTCGTGCTGCTCTTTATGTTTCCTTTTCTTTTTCCCTGAGTGACACTCATTTAATGAAGCATCCAGTTCCTTTCCATTCAAGCTACCTATCTTAGATTGTTTCACTTTTGGTTTCTCACCATACTCTGTACTCTCTGCCTCATCTCTCTTCTGCTTCTTCTTTTTCTTTTTGACTTTGGTTTTCAGTTCTTCTGAAGGCTCCAAAGCTTCGTCAGCTGTTGGGCAGGAATGATCTACCTTTGTTTCTGCTTCATTCTGGGATCCCTTCAGTTTTGCCATGCGCTTAGCGAAATATTCCTGTACAGTGAGAGCACTCTTCACTGTATTGTAACCGTCGGCAGGCTCGGATAGCCAGCCGTTTCTCTTCTTCTCTTCCTGAGGCTCCGGATCGGTAACATCCTCCTGCAGGTGAAGAAAGAGGAGCAGGAGTGAGAGTCAGAAATAATGGCTTTAAACATAATGTTATTTTTTTGCATGCTAAAAAAAACTTTTAAAAGCTGTAAGATGCTTTGAAAATTAATTGTAAAAGTATAGACTTTGGCAGAAGAGAGAGGCAGCCCTTCATGCAAAAGACAGCGTACGTTTAGGCAGAAGAGGTGGCAGCATGGAAGGCAGCAAGAAAACACAGAACAAGACAATTCTCTGTTGTTTTGAATTTCTTACTGTTTACCTACTCCTGTGCAACTCACACAGGTTATGTATAATACTATCATACTCGGTGTATTACACTCACTTTGCAAAGGCACATGTCTCTACAAGATATAAAACAATATGAAAAATAACACAGTACGATCTATTAGCCTGTGGCAGAAAGGAAATCCCATGCCTGGAATACCTCTACAGCAAAGTGCAAGAAGTTATGATATACTGAGCAATCCAGCACTGATGCATCTCTTCCATCTTATCTGATCTTTAGAAATGTTTGTTTCGTAGCTGGTTTACTGTCATTGTGTCCTAGATGTCGTTATTTAAACATGCTCCATTTGATCATATGTTATCAGATGGCAAAAACAACATCACAGGTTAGATTTTACAAGGCTTCTGCATAGACAAAATAAATAGCTGCTGAACTCTAGCTGCAGGTGAATATCTATAACGAGAGCCTAGTATCTAGAAGGTAGCAAAGTATAGCTCTGGAGCTGGATGTTATGTGTGGCATGAAGAGAATTGACTCTGAAAAAGCAACAAATGCAACAAGATGAAAATACAGAACTTGTTAAATTATCTGTGACTTACAAAATAAACAAGCCAAAAAAGGCAGCTGAAGTTCAGACTTGTTTACGTGGATACTGAAACACTCAAAAATAACCCTTTGCAGCATATCCTTTTGCTTGGCAAAGGTCACAAATGACTCTTGGAAGTGTCCCAAATTTTACATTGCCTTTTTTTTTGAAGCTTTGTATGAACTGCAGGTAACCAAGCACACCCCCCTCGATGGGAAAAGCTGAGCAGGTAAGAATTGTGTAGACCAACATCTGGCCTACAACACGCTCCTTGAACAGGAGGTAATCCACAGCTATTACAGTCAAATGCGGTGAATAGGATGGAGCTGCTTCGCTGTTTTTCCATTCATAAAAGCACAGATAGATAAGAGCACCCGCTCTACCCATGCATCTTGTATGTGAACCAAAGTGACTATAAAATGCAACCAAATCAGAGCAGTAATATTTTACGCCCACTTTCACTGGCACAGGCTGATACACAGGGTGAAGGCCAGCAGAAAACTGGGAGATATAAAACCACTTATCTCAACACTTTATAGTTATTGCATGATGGTGTAGATAAGTGATCTGGCTCTCTTCAGGGCATCATTAAACTTGCTAGCTGAAGTGGGGTTTATTAGGGTTTGTGAGTAAGGTTTTGCAGGTCTGACTCCTTATGCATCCATAACCTTTACTCACACGAGCAGGAACGCAAAAATTTGTGTCATTAGTGATGCATTACGAGTAGCGATTTCCTCATACATCTACTTTCAAGAGAGCCATTCCAGTGGAACGAAAGTAACGCTACACTTGAGATTCCAGTAATGTTTGTGCAGGCACTTATAAAAATTAGGTACTTTTCTTGTAGGAATACCTTGTAGTGTACCTGCAGCTACATTTATGAAGTAACTGAAACTATTTGACTTCTGGCAAAGAAGTCTGCAAAGAGATGTTGAACATGGGGGAAAAAACCTCATGTACCTACACACATCTATCCATATAGGTTACATTTGAAAGGGGAGCCGCAGTAGAAGTTTGACAAGACAGAATCCACAGAATAAATGGATTGAGCTACGTTTGTAGTCGCTCTCTTTTTATTAAGATATACCTCCCAACCCAAGCAAGCAGCGTTAGTGCGGATCAAAAATAGATGCCCTGCTAAAGCAGAGTTAAACAGGTCACTTTCTTCTCTTTTTCCTTCTACCCGCAGCAGGATTTTGACACCTTGTATTGCAAAATGACAAATGGCCTCCCAGGTTTTCTGCTGCAGATGCCAGGCGGAACAGTTTCCCTCCCCACCCCAATACGTAAAACGTATTTGTGACCAGAACACCCATTACCTCCGGCCAACCAGGAAAGGATTTTCTCATTCCCTTGGTGACTTCAAGTCCTGACAACTTAATTACTGTAATTGAAGGCAAATATTACTTGAACTCTACAGATTTCTTTTATAAAATACATTAGGCATAAAAAAAATGTTCCTTTGGTTAAGCTGAGGAGTTCAGAAGGTACGCATGATCCCAGAAAATAAGAACCTTGCTCAGAAACTCCTTTATTGATAAGAATTTTAATAACCACGGGCCACTGAACACAGAACTAACAGGGCATGGAGACAAGCAAAGAGGTGCCAACCCTAGAAAACCTCTCAGTTTAGGAAAAGCTTATGTGAAACCATAAATCACCTGGAAGGGCTGTTAAACGCCAGAAGTGTTCCCCCTCCCGTGATGTACCTGTCCTAGTAGCCATGGGAACACCACTGAACTCTAAATGTGGGTTTTCTCTAACCTCTCGACAGGAGACTCACAGTTTATGCAATTCCTCCCTTGCCTGCCCCAACACATGCACAGAGAAGTTGCAAAGAAAAATAAGATCTACATACTTCAGTGTGTACTGTGTTGCTGCAACTTCTGAAAAGCAATTTATTACACAAGATGAAAGACAGAAAGAAACACTCCTGTTCCAAAGAACTGATGAGCACGTAAAAGGAAAAGAGCAATCATGCTGTAACTGGTGGGAGTCCTGAAGATTGGGCTTTGGAGAAGATATGTTCGTCCACACCATGAGTTCCAAAACTGCCAACAAAATCGGGCTGAGAAGATGAAATTAAAAGGAGTTGGGAATACTGGCCTCTATGGAATTGGTGCAATGGTCCCAAGCAAGAGAAAAGGACTGCCCGAAACACGGTGTTAAATGTGGAATGATTAAGAGGAAACAATAGGAAAATTCAAGGAGAGGCTGGGAAGTGCACAGGAAAAGATGAAGGTCAATTATAGCCAGAAGTCCCCTGAAAATATCATCTGTTTATGTAATTAGTTAAATGTATGGAAAATAATTTGAAGCACATAAAGCACTCTAAGTACCACCGATTTTTTTTCTGCCTCCTTTTGTCACTTGAGACACACAATGCTGATTTAATCATTAAGAGTACACTAAACATATAGAGTGAAATCCTGGTTCCCTTGATTCCTGCAGGATCAGGACTGCATCTCGAAGGCATCATACTCTCAGAGCAGCTTTCAGACACTTATTTAGTGAATAAAAAAATAGGGGATTATGGTCAATTATATAAACAATTCACATCGCATCATGAAAACAGTTTGGCAACAGTAGAAGCCCAAAGTGGGAAGTATTTAGACACCTCATGAAATCAAATGAGTTTGAAACCCAAATATCTTTGGAGATTTAAGACCTTAGGTTGAAGAATTAAAATCCAAAAAGAAAAACTCCATCCGCACGTTACTCTGGGAGGAAAAGCGAGATATAACCAACCAGCAACAACAAAGGGTGCCAGTACATAAGCAACAGAAGCAGCTTGGATTAATTCAGTGAAGTTTCCCTGCTCTTCAGACTGCAAGTGTTTCTTTTTTAACGCTTAAAGCTCAGAATAGGGGAATCAAAAGATCTACCATACAACCTCAGATCTGCCATATCCGAACTCCAATTACTTAAGTCAAGTAATTTCATATGCCTTTGCTTCCTCATTTGCAAATAAGGGGGTAAGCACCAGCAATTTTGTTAGCTCAAATTCACAAAAATGGCACAAAAGGAAAAGTGCAGAAGGGCTGAACATAAAGGGAGAATAAAGCTAAACTATAATTTTAGTAGATTCTCACTTAAATTACAGAAAATGGGCTAGATGAAGTAAGCAGAGGCTAAACCTCTAGGCTGAGTTACAAGGCAATCGCATGATCATTCACAGTTTTAAAATGCAACAACCCCTTTCTGCAGTCTGGCTGAACCACAGTGATTAGCTACTTTCTGGTTGAGAAACCATAACAATAAGATTAATATAATCCAGTTCTGCTTCTGCTACTTCAGATCCTCACTGCAGAGGTGCGTTGGTATGACCCCCATGCAGCGCACAGAACTCGAGAGGCAAGAACCGGGGGCATCCCTGTATCTTTCTAACGCAGGTCTAGCTGTAATGGAGAGAAGCACAGCAGATTATTCATGAAAAGTCACTCTGGAGCTTTGCAGACATTAAGGATGACAGAGTCTTGCTTTAAGGAGTTGACAACTTAAAGTTAAGTATGAGCATAAACATTTGGATTGGGATCAAACAGGCAAGAGGGTGAACAAAGACTTGTAGCACGATGAGTTTAAGCAGGATTAAAATAAATACATGCATAAATAAGGCCATGCACCATCAGTTCTGAAGTCAATTCGGGCATAAGAACAGGTACTTAGGAGGCTCTAATGTTTTCAATTTACCTGATTAAGATTGGTATACTGCAGACAGCATCTTATGAAGAACTAATGATAACAGACTCCCAATACAGAACGGGCTGATGCAAAGAGAAAAGGGGACAATTTTCCCTGTGCTTATGAAGAAGAGGACAAGCAGCAGCAGATGTAAATTACCAACATGAAACTCTGCTATAGGAGAAATCTATCACTATATATGTGAAGCCTCAACAACCACTGGAAGTCTCAACCACTGAAAGCAACTCAGACAACTATTAGGAAAGCGTTAGGTAGGGTTAATCCTTGCTTGGAATGGAAAATGGAAGATCTGGACCCTAGAAGCATCTTCCAGCGCTGTAATGCTTTAAAAACCTAAACAGGGATACAATTTGACCTCCTAGTAATAAAAGGGGGTTTAATGAAAGAGATGAAAAGCAGGAACACTAAACCTGGAAAGAAATGGTAAAAATTCAGGTTATCTGCAATTTCCTTCTTTTGTTGACCCTGGTATTCTAA